TATATGCAACTGATGAATCGCTAAATTCTACTTCTGAAAATAACAATACACTATAGTTAATTAAATTGATTTTAAATTTAAGAAAAAGAATAAGAAAAGATTATAGAAAATAGTCCTTTGACAGCAGGTTTGTTTTCCACTTTATCAAAGTATAATCGACAAACGAAATGTATGTGTTTTAGCGTACAACGTGATCTGACACATGTATAGTTTGTGAAACGATTGCCACAGTCAGGTTAATACATCCATCCCCACAGTTACCTCGTGTGTGCGCGCGTGCGTGTGTGTGTGTGTGTGTGCGATGAGAATGTGAGGTCTGCTCTCTTAGCAAAGTTCAGGTAGGCCACACAGTGTCATTAACTGTAGTCCCCACGCTGTACGGCTGACCCCCAGGGTTTATTCATCTCATAACAGAAAGCGTGTACCTTTAGCAGCGGCTCCTTATTGCAGTAACAACTTTCCCCATCAACGTCACCCTAAAATCACACATTCTATGTCAAATAGAAGCAACACTAACAGGACCTTAAAAGGAGTGAAAAATGCCACTAAGTGAAACCATCTGTCTCTTGACACATTCAGGCCCATTCATGCAAATTTCCAGCTGTCAAGGCGTGGACGCACCACCAGACCCCCCTTTTCCCTGGCTTTCTCCGAGTTTCCAGCTCCACGGCACTCTTTAAGGGATCCAGGGGGATCAGCAGGGACTCACCTTTTTTTTTTTTTCCTGAATCACAAATGCCGATACTATTATTTTTATTTCTAGATCTGTACCTAGAACTAAGTAAGCTTATGCATGTTTCAGGTTTGTTTTTTAATAGATTTTATTTCTTTTTCTTTCAGTTTTACTGAGATACAACTGACATACGATACTGTAAGTTTGACCCGTACAGCATAACTGCTTGACCTACGATACGTTGTGAAATAATGATCACAGTGAGTTTAGTCAACATCCATCATCATCTTGTATAGATACAAGAAGAAAAAGGGAAACAGGAAAAATGTTTTTTTCCTTATGATGGAAACTTTTAGGATCTACTTCCAAATATATCCTACAGCAGCGTTAACTGTAGTCATCACGCTATGGTTACAGCCCAAGTACTTATTCATCTTACCACGGGACGTTTTACCTTTTGACCAGACTTTATCTTTTAGAGCAGTTTAAGGTTCACAGTGTGAAAATTAATGAAGAGAAACCTCAGTGAAGGGGACTCTGGGTGCTAGAAGGAGGGTGTGGGAGGGAGAGCCCGCCGCTCAATGCAGATTCCAGGAAGAACCGTCAATCACAGATCCTAATGGAAGAACCTCACTGGAGGGGCACTTGGGTGGCTCAGTCAGTTAAGTGTCTGACTCTTGATTTCCGCTCAGGTCACGATCTCAGGGTCCTGGGATCAAGCCCCACGTTGGGCTCTTCACTCAGAGGGGAGTCTACTGGAGATTCTCTCCCTCTCCCTCTGCCCCTTCACCCTCTCCAAAATAAATAAATAAAATAAATATTAAAAAATAAAAAAAAAGAATCTCACTGCAAAGAATCATTGGTTACAGGCCTTGATAAAAAAAAAATGCCTTGTATCTTCTACAAGAAATCAACCAACCCCTTCAACTCAGCCACTGAGAAGCTGTCATTATCCTAAACTCTTGCTTCCCTCTGATGGACATTTGTTCAAAACAAACCCTCCCTAGGGGCACCTGGTGGGGCTCAGTGGTTGAGCACCTGCCTTCTGTTCAGGTCATGATCCCAAGATCCCAGGATCGAGTCCCACATCGGGCCCCCTGCAAAAAGCCTGCTTCTCCCTCTGTCTCTGCCTCTCTGTGTCTCTCATGAATAAATAAATAAAATCTTTTTTTTTAATTAAAAATATAAATAAACTGATCCAAACAGGGGCACCTGAATGGCTTAGTTGGTTAAGCATCTGCCTTCCTCGGGTCGTGATTTCAGGGTCCTGGTGATGGGCTCCCTGCTCAGTGGGGAGCCTCCTTCTCTCTCTCCCTGCACCTGCTCATGCTCTCTTGCTATTTCTCCCTCAAATAAATAAATAAAATCTTTTTAAAAATTTTTTAAAGATTTATTTATTTATTATAGACATAGAGAGATAAAAAAAATTTTAAATAAAAAAATAAACTGACCCAAACAAACAAAAAAAAATGTATAAGGATTTGCTAACAACTGAGTTTATGTCTCCCTTCCCAGAGCCCCAGCCCTGGCTTTTCCCTTTGGCCTCATTTCAGAGGCAAAGGCTGGAAAATCACATGTGGGCAGGAATGTTTAGGAGAAGTCCGGCATTATCCGGACAGAGCAGGAGCTGAGTCCCTGTCTTCCGTAATTCGGGCAGGACTTCCACGGAAAAAGTGCGTCCTCCAGTTACAAACGCCCTCGTGCCATGAGAAATGGTCAGGCTATCACTTCTGCTTTCAGCAAACCCCAAGAGAAAATATGATCCCACAGATCAAGTTATGGAGACCTGACCTTAAATCTTTGAATTCCTGGAGCTGGAGTTAGTAGAGGAGGAGATCTAGGAGGTTAAAACCGGGTCCTCAAAGGCCCACAGAGCTTGGGTCAGTGGAGGCAGGAACACCTCCACGAACTTTGCCAACCAACGCGCTTTAGCCCCAGGCTGGGGGCCTCGCAGGCCCTGAATAAAGATTCACTAGACCAAGAGGTATTTGTTAGGTTTGACCGCTGAGAGCAAGAATAATCTTAGAAGCCTGCTAGGGTAGAAATTTGGTCACCGTAAGTCCAAAGTTGTCTTCGAGGTGAACTGGAAACAGTAAGTGAAACTGTAAGTCTAGTTACCAGAAGGACAGTCACAAGGACAGGGAATGACACTTCAAGGCATGTGTGTTTATTCATTTTCACAAGAAACACTAGAACGCAATATTGAAGGGAGAAGGATATGTCCCCTTGTACGCGTCCTCATCGGATTGCTAGCTTTGTCAATTCCTTACTCATTCAATCATTATTGTTACCGAGCATCAACTGTACGTGAGGAACAGTACAGATGCCAAAAATACTTGAACAAAACTGATGAAGCCTTTCCGCTCAAGGGGACTGCATTACCTGCTCGATTTTTTTTAAAAGATGTTATTCATGTAGTCATGAGAGACACAAAGAGGGAGGCAGAGACACAGGCAGAGGGAGAAGCAGGCTCCATGTAGGACTCGATCCCGGGTCCCCAGGATTACACCCTGGGCTGAAGGCGGCACTAAACCACTGAACCCCCCCAGGCTGCCCTCAACGTCTTCATTTTAAAAAAAGGACTGTTGCCAGGTTCTTTCTGTGCCGCGTCTGAAAGACTGGCTAATGGCAGGAATAAGAAGATACTTAGAGATATTTCAGGAATTTTTTTCAATGAGATATGATGAGCGATCAACCTGAAAATCCTACGGGCCCACCCGGAAAGCAATTTTTCCTCCCTCCTTACCCTGACAACCACCCCAGGGAAGAGCCAGGTCTTCCCTTCTTGGATTCTGGGTTCAGCATCTTGGAATCTGGGCTCAGCAGTGGTGGTTTGAGCCCGAGGGCGCGCGGAGCCACGACGGGTTCACATTGCCCCCTGCTGGCCGCTCTCCCCCAAACAAGGAGCAAATACTTCCCTTCTTTTGCTCCCACTCCAGAAAAAAAAAAAAAGAAAGAAAAACACAGAATGCCCCCACAAAAGTCAAATGTCTTTATTTTATATAAAAAAAATTTGTACAGTTTTAGTTCCTATGTTTAAGAAAAAAAATCCCTAAAATTGCCATAATGTTTAGATCCACTGCAAACTGTAAAAACAAGCTTTTTATATATTAAAAAAAATTTACATTTTACAATTTTCTACATGCATGCACAAGGTCTCTGAACCAAAAAAAAAAAAAACAGAAAAAAGAAAAAGAAAAGAGAGAAAAGAAAAAAACAAATGAAAAAGAAAGGAAAGAAAAGAAAAGGGGAAAAAAATAAATCTAGATTCAACAGTGGTAAATTCTACATTTACAATCTCACTTGGAAGGGACCCAAAACTAGCCGCCTTCCTTTCGCGCACAGGAGAACAAATCACAACAATCACACACCAGGACCGAATCCATCAGCAGATGCTGCCCTGGGGGAAGGGCAGGGGAAGGGCAGGGGAGGGACAGGGGAAGGACAGACAGAGGACGGACAGCGGACAGACAGCACGGAGGGGCGAGGGCGCTCCTCGGGCCCCGCGGAGGAGAGAAGCACGGACTCTGGGAAGGGGTGCTGCTGAGGAGAAGGTTCCGGGGGTCCCAATGCCTCTTCACAGGTACCGCAGGTGGGGGGCTTGCAACAGGGATGCGGGCCGAGAACTGAAAAAGCTCAGGTGGGATAGGATGGGAAGGAACAACGAAGGATCAAAGAAACCGAGCACGAAGGGGGGGGGGGGGTCGGGGTCCTTTAAGAGAAAGGGGACGCGGCAGTGTGGCGAGGTAGGTGAGGCCTGAGGCCTGCGGCACCCCAAGGTGATGACAAGGCAGGCCCGGTGGGGACGGAGCGGCAGCGCTGGGGTGCCGGGGTGTAGGGGAGGCCCAGCCACAGATCCGGAGTCCCGGGGGGGGGGAGCACAGGCAGGCACCCCGCCCAGGAGAGCAGTAACAAACCCAGCAGGTGGTGGGACCCGCCAAGTGGGGGGCCAGCGCCCGCAGGGATGGGTCCCCGCAGCGCCCCCAGCAGCTCACAGCACCAACTTGACTCCCCGAGCAGCAAAAGACGCACGCAGCCCAACACGTGACAACTCATCCTGACGTCTTAAAAAACACAAATTATAATAATCGTCAAAGAAGACAAAGATACCACAGTTCTGACGCAAAGGACCCAAACACTACCGTTCTCAGTCACAGCCCTTAGTGCTTAGAGTCACGGGGAAAGGTTTTTGTTGTTGTTGTTGTTGTTTTAGGAAAAAAGGAATGAAAAAATCACAGTGATTAAAAACGTGGCAGGTGCTGAAAATAAACACCCCCCTGCCCCCAACGAGGGCAGCTCGGAAGCTCCCCAATGCTCACCCCTGCCCCCCCCCGCCCCTCCCTCGCGCACCGCACCCCGCTGCTGCCCCCCAGCTGCTGCCCCCCATCCGGGCCTTTTGCAGGACAGTGAGGTATTTAGGAACGTGCCCCAGGAGGGACTCCTCTGAAGCCAGGCCCTCGAAGGGCAGAGGGATACCTCCCACCCCCGAGCCGGGACAAGCCCCACACCCCGAGCCCTTCTCCAGCCAAGCGGCGGGGGCATCGGAGGTGGCTTGGGGACGGGGACCCTCCACGCAGGTGGGGGCGGGGGGGGGGACCTCGTCCCAGGGGCCAAGCAGCCTGAGCGCCCGAGGAGGGGTCTGGCCGCCACCCTGCAGCCCGGGGGGTCCCGCACCCTCGGCTAAAACCCGGACCCACGGGCGTCCAAGGCAGAGGCTCAAATTCTGAGAAGGCGGGGGAAGTGTGCTCAGACCGAGACCCAAACTCTCGGGAACCGGGACTGGGTGTAGACGACAGGAGCTCCATGGGATGGACGGAGAGCCCGGGGGCCCCTCACCCCGACACCGAAGGACACAAGCGCCCAGGGGACCAGGCGGGGAGACAGGAGGGGACCCTGGCCAGCCAAGGAGAGGAGACCCCTGAGGCAAAGTGGGCTTAAGGCAGGGGTGAGGAGGAGCAGGTGGCTTCCCCCACAAATTAGATGAGGCAACAGGGCCCTGGCGCTGAGAAAAGACACACGGGGGTCGGGGCGCATGGTGGGGGGGCGTCGGGGCGCGTGGTGGGGGGGGTCGGGGGACGGAGAGGAGGAAAGAAGTTGGTCGGTGTGGTCCCAAGCCGCTCGATCTGCGGGAGTCGCCCTGCCATCCATCCTTCCCCAAGGGCAGGCTGCCCCAGGGAGGGCACGAAGGTTCGGGAAGGTCATGGGCAGGGGTTGGGCAGGGGTGGGCGCTGCTCCCCCAGACCTCCCAGGCTGCCTGGGTGGGACCCAGGGAGGGAAGGAACCCCCCACAGCCCAGGAGGGGCGCTCAGAGGGTCTCTGGTCACCAGAGACCCCACGACTCAGAAACAAGCTGGAGGCTCAGGAACACAGGCCAGATCGCCCCTCGCTCTGCAGTGTGAATGCGCGGGGCAGGCTCTGACGGCCACAGGGACCACCTGGCCCACAGGGACCACCTGGCGGGGCCCCCGACACGGACCCTGCAGTGGGGGACGCGGGGCACCCTGCGGGTTAGCGGGCAGAAGGGGCCGGGACCCGCCATCTGGAGGAGTCTGGCACCGAGGCTCTCTGCGGTCCCATCTGTGCCCCAAGACACTGTCTGGGCCACAGAAGGAAGCTGCGACAAGAACCTGCCTGGTTAGGAAGTGGGGGCTTGGAAAGGACTGCCATCCCGGAGGGAGGGGGAGAGGCACAGGCTTCCTGCACGATGTCACCAAGTGAGGGCTTGGGCGGGGGGGCGCTTCCCAGGCTCTGCTGGCACAGTGGCCTGTTCAGGCTCACGCGGGGCAGTTAGGAGGAGGGGAGCACACGGGTGAGGGAGTCAATTCAAGTAAAAGTAAATGGGGGCAGGACAGAGGCGGCAGGAGACGAGAGCCGAGCCCTCCCCCACCCGCAGGACCCCGTGTCCCCCGCCGCTGCTGCTCAGTCACACCGAGGTCTCAGACTGCAGCCTCATGACAAACTTGTGTGACTTGGGATCCACAAACTCCTCCGAGAGTTTGAAGAACGGGACCTTCTTGGTGCTCACCACCAGGCTGAAGTCCTGGCGTTTTAAGAGGAAGACGATGCCGTCCTTGAGCCCGTTGGTCACGGGCTCCTCGCTCACCAGTGTCCACTGCTTGGCCAGCCAGCGTTCCTTGTGGTACTGGATGGTGGGTCCGGCTGCCAGGTACCGCTCCAGGAAGGCCTGAGGACGGGTCAGGGGCTGCGTGGGCATCTCTCCCGGCCACCCGCCACCCTCGGCCCCCCGGAGGCACAGCTTCCACACCATCTAGAACATCAGAGCAGGAAGGGGCTGAGCTCATCTGCTTCAGACCCTTGTTTTGAAGAGCCCATGGAGAATGGGGGTGCCACGGGGTCAGGACACGCATGTCGGCACGTGCCCTGAACCAGGCCAGGACCCCAGGCCCCCCGCCGATTCCATTCTGCTCTCATGGAGGCCATCACTCCGCTCACCAAGCGGTTGGGGATGCAGTTCTGGGAGGCTGACAATCAAGAGCAGGTGAAGGGGCAGAGGGGGAATTTTGGGGGGGGCAACCACAGGCCCTTGCAGAGATGGGGACCACGTCTCAGCCATTCCCAGGAGAACCTGGAAGCTGCCCCTGCTCACCACCCGGGAACCTGACTCAGAGCAGAGATCGGGGGGGCAGGGATGAGGAAGAGACCACAGGGGGAAGGGAGAGAGAGGGGTGGGGGGGAGAAGGCAGGGCCGCAGGGCGGGGGCAGTGAGACCACGGAGTGGGGAGGGCGAGGCAGGATGCTGGCAGCACAGCAGGCCTACCTTGGGCGTCATGTCATGAGTGATGCAGAACTCGAGATGCTGCAGGATGCTCTCCATGGTGTGGTAAGGCTGCTGCTTGGTGGTGCGAAGGTACTTCTGCATGGCGCGGGCCATGGAGGCAAAGATGGCCTGGGCTGCCTCCCGGGGGTCCATCACCTCCCTGGGGTTCTTCTGCTCCTCTTCCTGCAGCCGCTTGATGTGAGTGAAGGCCTCCTCCACCGCCACCACAAGCCTGGGGGACAGAAGGGGCCTGGACCAGATGCCCACCCCCATCGTTCCCTCGGCTCCCACCCCCCAGCAGCCCCCCTACTCCCGAAAAAAACACAAACCCACCTGGAGCCAAGGGCTAGGCTATGGGGGCTGGTGCGGGGGCGCAGGTGCATGTGCATGGGGGAGGGGCAGTAAACAGCTGTAGACTCGGGGAGCCCGGGCGCAGGGGCCCAGCATCATACCAAGGCGGCAGGGACCGTGCTCTGCGACAGAGCAGCACAGCCTCACCTGCAGACCCCTTCCCACAGGAGACCCCAAACCGCGCAGACCCCGGCAGCGGAGGCAACGTTAACATCCGGCGGGGGGAGGTGATTATGCAACGAACTGACGACACACCGGGAAGCAGAGGCGAGAACACTGCAGCAGGGCGGCCAGGCCGGGCCACCGGTCGTCGAGGCCTGGGAGGGACGCTGCGGCGCACAAGGCCGGCGCGGCGGCCGGTCAACAGCCGGAGAAGACAAGCATCCCGCGGCCACCGAGACACGAGGGCAGGGAGTGGCCCTGGAATCCAAGCCCCGCGTGGGGCGCCGAGTGGTCATCGGGAACACCAGGCAGCGACAAGACGCGACCGGCCGCATCCCAGGCAATGGCGCAAGCTCACCAATGGCGTTCAGGGAGCAGGGAAAAGCAGCCAGTTCACGTAGAAAGCAGACGGACACACGGCCGCGTCGGGAACCCCAGGAACCGGGGGACTTCGGGCAGCTGAGGGCGGGGTTCTGGGCGCAGGGAAAGGGGGCCGGGGTGCGGCCAGTGTCTGTTATCCTTGAGCTTCCCCAGAGCGTCTCCGTCAATGTCCTTTGGAAAAAACCCTTTCGTCTCAGGTGACACACGGGACAAGTTCTCTCCGGGTTACAACCGGGGTAAGAGTGGAAGGAAACAGACCCCAGAGAGCACTGGCAACGCAGGCGACCCAAAACCCCCGCCTGGGGTCAGGGTGAGCGGGGGGCGTGTGCATCTCTGGGCTCCTTCCCACCAGGCCCCCTTCTGAGGCAACCAGAGGCAGAGAAGTGACAGCTCCTCACGTGGGGACAGGAACAGGATACCGTCCTCCCTTGCAGCCTGGAGGCGTGGGCAGAGGGGCAGCGGTGGCGACGGTCAAGGCCTGGGGCCCTCTCCTACCGAGGCCCCATGGAAATCGCCACAGGCCACAAGGGACTGGGCAGCAGCATCACCAGGAGACTCTTCAGGCGACTGACGTGCGCAGGATAACGTGAACAGGAGGCAACGTGACGGTGTTTAAGAGGCATCAGGACGGAGCGCCGCACCCTCATTTTCCGCAGGCCGGGAGCAGCGTCCCGGGGGGCATCCGGCCGCAGCCCCTGCGCTGCAGGCGAGGCTCCCGCAGTTCTTCAGCTCCCGGCAGCACACAGAATTCTAGAACGTTCCCCTGGTTCTGCGCCAGCACATTCCCAGCACCCGGCTACTCCACTAACTCAGTACGTTTTGCAGATACAACTCAAGCACCCAACCAGCGGACTCGGACCTTGTCGCCGGGGAGATGACCGTGGCCTGCATGGCCTTCTCACAGGAGACCTTGAAACGCAGTTTTCTCCAGGTGCTACGCAGCCAGACAGTCCTGCTCTGGCTGGGAAAAGCGAACTGCCCATGGGGCCAGCGACCCAGAATGACGGCGCCAACAGCCCGGGAGCTTGGGAGGGCACCCGGCTCCGGGAGTCATCTGCATTTCAGCCTGCGACGCTGAGCGGAGGGCCCAGCTGAGCCAGGCCTGCCCCGTGGGACCTGAGCTGAAGAGCCTGCTGTGCAAGAGCGCCCAGCTCCTGGGACTTAGGGCGGCCACAGGACGCGGATGCACGCACTGCACCCCATCATGCTTGCTCACCTGCCCCCCGCAGTCACGGGGACCCGCAGCAGTGCCCCCGCCCCCGCCTGGCCCAGGGACCCACCTGGCCCTCCGCTTGCGCACCCTCCGCTCGTGCTCGGCCTCCTCGTAGTAGTATTCGTTATGGCTGTTGTCCCGCCTCCGAGCCGCGGCCGCAATCACAGCCCGGGACTGGCCCGTGGAGTTGTTGGTGCTGTTCTCTGCGCGGGAGCAGGAGGAGACACGGGCAGGGTCACTGCACCGCAGGCTCACTTCCCATCCCGGGGAGTCCGGGGACAGCAAGCTGACACACCCAGAGGACGCTGTGCCCGCCTCCTGCCATACGTCCCGTTCCCAGCCCTCCTGGTCAGCACAGGCCTGCAGGCCAGCAACAGGGAAGGCGAGAGGGCGGGAGGCCCTGGAGCTCAGAGAGCTGAGGGCTTAGGACGGGGGCTGGCGAGCGGACGCAGAGAAGCCAGATTGGGGGGGGTGGGGGCAGGTGGCACAGCATCAAGGGACAGGGAGCAGAACCAGCAGCTGACCTCAGTCACCTGGAGTCAAGGGGAAGGACAGAACAAAAGGAGGGGGGGAAGGTCAGAGGCGGCGGAGAGAACAGGGAGCAGGGACAGAGCCCAGCTCACAGGGATGGACGGATGGATGGACAGATGGACAGCCGGAGAGCCGGGCAGGGCAGGGGAGCCGGGCCGCTCACCCTCTCCGAGGGAATACACCTTGAAGCCAGACACTTTCTTGGCCAGTACGGACTTGGGCAGGTTGAGGAGGGCGGGGTTGTAGACAGGGAAGTCATGGTAATACTTCTCCAGGATCCACACGGCCACGCGCTGGATGCTGTGGGGGAGACGGCGGGGGGTGGGGGACAGACAAGGGGGGGCCAGGGGAGGGAGACATCAGGACAGGTTGGCGGGGCAGGAAAGGACACGGGGACGGGGACAAGCCGCTCCCGAGACGCCTGGCTCAGGGCCCGAGGTCTACTCACCGGGCTCCCAAGCCTTCCCCAGGGCTGGGCCTGCTAGTCCTTCCCTGCCGTGCTGAAGCCCAGGGGAGAAAGGCCATTGGGCCTGGGTCCCCACAAAGGGTCGCTTCCTCCCCTGCAAGAGTCCCTCACCATTCCCTATGGGGACCAGGAGGTGCTCCCGAGGCTGTGTGGCCTGGTGGGGGCAGCGGGACTCCCCTTATCTTGTCCCTCCTCTGGCCAGCTCATCTCGGTGACCCTGACTTGAGGGCTCCCAAAGGCTGTGCCTCCAGGAAGGCTAGGAAAGGGGTTCCCCAAACCCCCGTCCGCACCCCACACCGTCCTCCTCTGTGGGCCAGCCCTGTCTGAGGCCCCAGCGGGTCCCTGTTTGCCGCCCAACCTGCCCCAAGGCGCTGCACTGTTGGGGACCACCTAGGGTGTGCAGAGGACAGCGACGTGCCCCTCGGCCTCGGACTCCTCCCCACCAGCCCCTCCAGCGCTGCTCGCTCTCTCCCACTCTCTCCATCTCTGTCTCCCCCCACGCCCCAGGCCCCAGGCGGCCTCCCTGCCCCGCGCACCTGAGATGGCCCACGTTGTAGAAGCGGCTGGCGCCGTCGGTGGAGCGCACCACCTTGAGCGTGAACTGAGGCTGCAGCTGCCGCAGCTCCAGCAGCACGACCGCCAGGTAGTGCACGAAGAGCAGCGCGTCCACCAGCGACACAGCGAACTGCACGACGCCCTGGTAGCTGCGCTCGCGGGCGTCCAGGATGCGCACCCCGTAGAAGAGCCAGTAGGAGACGACGAGCAGGAAGACGAGCACCATGAGCAGGGCGCGCAGCACGAACACGCGGGGCAGCGAGGCCTTGGGCCGCCGGAAGAACAGCGCCCAGCTGCCCAGCAGCAGGATGAGCAGCTTGAAGGCCACGGAGATGAAGAGGCCCTCGCAGGCCGTGCCGCACGGCTCCAGCTCGTCCCGCCACAGCAGCGGGGGCAGCAGCAGGAAGGCCAGCGGCGTCAGGAACGACAGCAGCGCCAGCGTGGCCCCCGCCGCCACCCCCAGGTGCCGGGAGCAGTCCAGGGGGACGCTGTCCTCCATGTCCTTGGCGATGCGCGTGAGGTCATCGTGGGAGATGCTGTGCTCTGAGGTGCCCGTGACGACTGTGGTGGTCTCCCCCCAGTTGTCATCCTACAGCAGGGGCGGGGTGGGCCGAAGCAGCGAGGAGGGGGAGGAGAGGGAAGAGGGAGGGAGGAGGAAGGAGAGGGAGGGGGGAGGAGAGGGAGGAGGGAGGAGGGGGAGGGGGGAGGAGGGGGAGGAGAGGGAGCAGGGAGGAGAGAGAGGGAGGAGGGAGGAGAGGAGGGGGAGGGGAAGAGGAGAGGGAGGGGAAGGGGAGGGGGGAGGGGAAGGGGAGGAGCAGAAGGGGAGGGACAGAAGGGAGTGGGGAGGGGCAGGGGCGAGGGGGGAAGGGCAGGACAAGAGAGAGGGGGCGGGGCGTGGAGGGCGGGGCAAGGTGGAGGGCGGGCGTGAGGGCGGGGCAAGGTGGAGGGGCGGGGCCGGGGCGGGGCAGGGCGGGCGGGCCACAGGGGGCGTGGCCACGGAGGGCGGTGCCGGGGAGGGCGGGGGGGGGGGGCACGGGGGCGGGGCAGACAGCAGAGCAGGGGAGAGGAGAGAGGGCCATCAGCCAATACGCAACCACCAAAGTATTTGCAACCACCAAAATATTTGCGGAGCTCCACCGGGTGCCCAGGCTTGGCCCCTGCAGGGCTGGAGCACCTGAGACCTGGACCCTCACCACGCACATGAGCAAGCTCAGGAAAGAGCACCAATGCCCAGATCTCACCCAAGAGGACAACAACCTTTTTTAAAAAAAAAAAAACAAACATGATTTGGGGGCGCCTGAGTGGCTCAATCAGTTAAGCCTCTGACTTCAGCTCAGGTCATGATCCCAGGGTCCTGGCATCGGGCAGGGTCCCCTGCTCAGGGAGAGTCGCCTTCCCCCTCTCCCTCTGCTACTCCCCTGGCTCATGCGTGCGCGCTCGCTCTCTTTCTGTCTCTCAAATAAAGAATCTTTAAAAATAAATAAATAATAAAAACCAGAAGATTTTAATGCTCATCCAAAATTGAGAATCACTGAACTCACTTAACAATCCCTAAGGCCTGTTTATTCACAATGGGATCCGCGGACCAGCAGTGTGGACAACTCCTGGGAGCTCGTTAGAAACGCAGCGTCTCAGGCCCCACCCCACGCGGACTGAACCAGATTCTGCACTTTGCCAAGACCCCCACGCATCACTCAAACATGAAGACGCCAGCCACAGGAGCGGAGGCACCAGGGGCAGAGCCAGGCACAGGCAGGCACAGTCCCGGCAGGCCACCTGCAAACCAGACTAGGCCAGAAGCACCTACTCTCCAGAAGTCCAGAGCCACTCACGGTGTCTGATTAAGGGAGTGACCTGACAAAAAGCAGCGTGGCAGAGGGAAGAGAACCCCAGCCAGGAGGGGGAAGGCAACAGTCAGTGTAGGGCCCGGGAGATGGACACACTGAGCATCACTCTGGGTCTCGGTGCCTCCCTGCCAGCTCTGTGGGGCTGCCTGTTCCTGGCAGTGAGGGTGTAGACAGGCTGAGGTCCCCGGGTGTCCTCCTGCGTCTGCTCCACTCCAGCAATCTCTGCAGGAGCCAGATGCCATCCCACAGAGGAGGCCCACGACCACCAGCGGCCATCAGTGCCCATGCCCTCCGCTCCCAGACAGCCCGGAGACACAGAGCCACGGGACTAAGACCAGAATGGGGAGTGCCGGCAGGGTCAGTGATGAGGGCCCTGAGGAATCTCCTTCCCGAGGACAGGAGAAGAGTCTGATGTGATGATAGGAAGAGGGTGCGCTGACCACTTTCAGCTCCAGGACCTGGGTCCACTCGTCACCCTGGGCTGACCCCCAGACACGCTGCCCACCCTCTCCAAGGATCAAGGTTTGTGGCCTCCTCTGCCACAGCTGGGGAGCTGACCGGTCCCAGGGGCCCTTGAAGAACCCAGGAGGCCCGGTCTCAGGGAGAAGACAGGACTGGGAGAGAGGGAGGAGTATACCCCCGAGGTACCCATCTACTCCCAACACCCAGGGAGTCCCAACATCAGTGACAGATTTCCTGGGAGGGAAGAGGAGCTGGGAGTCTCCAGCCCACGATGCTCCCAAGACCGGAAGGAGAGGCCCGAGTCACCTCCAATCCTGCCTCTGCCCTAGTCTGTGTTCGGCCTACGGGCCTCCCTCCCAGGTGAGCACTGGGGCCACAGCGATGGGCCACAGGGGTTAGGGCCGGGGCAGCCGGCTGGGGCGCCCCTCCGCGCTCCCCCTTCCTCTCCCCTCCCCCTCTTCCACTGACTCCGCCCATACCTGCTTCCCTCCAGACCCAGGCGATGTGACACCAGAGGCAGCGGCAGCGCCCATGCCTCAGGGTTTGGGGCTCAAGGGAAACCCTGGGCTGCCCCCACCCCCAGACCCCCCCCAATGCACCCTCCTGCTCCTGGTTCCAGCCCACCTGACCCGCTGGCCTCAGCCCAGCTCACCTTACCTCTCTGAGAAAGGGATCTCTACCTGAACTCTCTGAAGTCTACCCAAAGAGCTCCTACCTTGGGACACCACGCAGGAGGAAGTGTGACACGGGATGCCCTCCCTGGTAGGGCCTCTATCCAAAGAGACCAGGGTTCCAGGCCCTCCCCCACCTGGTGGGCCTGGATCCAGCCTCATGGAGCAGCCCGAGAACACCTGGCCTGGACCCCAGCCCCCTGATGCTCACCCGCTCATCCCCCCGCGTGGACTCGTTGTCCAGCAGGGGCTCCCCTGGAGCCTGGATTGTCACTGACTTGTCGCCGCGGCTCCCGTCTCGGCTCTTGGAGCGGTGCCGGTCGCGGCGGTCCCTGCAGCAGGCGGCCGGGGGGAAAAAGCACGGACGGTCAGAGGGGGACCCGGGTCTTCACAGCAGCCCATGCGCGTGCCCACCCATCCAGCACCCAGCACCCCCTCCAGCACCCAGCTCAGCCCCACGCCTGCCCACCTGTGCTTGCGGGAGCTGCGGGAGTGGCCCGACTTGTAGGAGTAGCCCGAGTACTGGGACTCGGTGTCCATGGCGTCCGAACGCCGCGCCTTGTAGCGCTCCAGGGCCACGGGCTGGGGCCTTCTGGGGGGCCCCACAGCCACCTCCTTCAGCACCGGCTTCTTCAGGCCAAGGGGCACCTTCAGGAAATCAACCGTCACCCTGAGGGACTCTATCTTGCTGGACGGGTGGGCTCGTCTCAGAGAAAATCAAGCGGCACTCCTGAGAAGAGGACGCAGCTGGTTAGGAGGGGCTGGCGCCCCTGCGGGGTCAGGGCAGAGGCCAGGGCCGCCCGGGCTGGGCCAGGGGGTGCGGGGAGGGCAGCCAGGCCGGGCTGGCGATGGCCACGAGGGGTGACCCAGCCCTGGGCCCCTAGGGTGGAGAACCTGGCTGCTTCCTTTATTCTCAGCCGGGGGGACTGTGGCTCACGGATGGCGGGCTCCGGCCGGGCTGATGGGCCAGGGCTACCGGGACCCCGCGGGACAGAGCACGGTGGCCTCCGGGCCACCTCTCCTTCCCCTGGACCCCATCCGCGCTCCCAGCTCGGAAAAAGCCCACTGGAGGCGGGCTCCTACATCAGCGACAAGCCAGGTCAGGCGGGCTGCTCGCCTTGAGGCCCAGAGGAGTGCGTGTGCGTGCGTGTGCATATCCGTATGCATGCATGTGTGTGCGTGTGTGCATGTGTGCACGTGTGCGTGTGCACAGGCAGACAAGGGGACAGGGTGAGGGATGGAAGCGGTGGCTGGGGGGGTGGTGAGAAGGACAAGGCAGGAGAAGCCACCCTCCCCAAGCCTGAAGCCCCGGAATGGCGAGGCCGGGAGTCTTCCTGGCTAGAGCTGTGCTCAGGGGCAGCGTCTTTATCCTCTGTAGATACAAATGGGCCCGCGGTACCCGCCTGCCTGGCCCTCACCCCTCGGCACCCCTGGGTGCCCCCAGCCCCTACCGCTGCGGCACCGTCCCCTCGCCCCACCTCGCCCTGCACACCTTGGCCACGCACGCGCCCATTTCCCAGCCTCACCCGCCGGCCGTGGGCTCGCCGTCAGGGGAGGCTGCTGGGGAGCCCGGCCCTGCATTGCCAGGCTGGTGGGGTGGATGCGTACCCCACCCAAACCGGGGTATGAATAACTCAGGGCAGGGGGGGTGGCAGGCCTAGGGCGGGGGCGGGAGAGGCCGCTCTGGGGGTTCTGCAAAGTCCCTCCAAGAAATGATGCCTGGACCTCCAGAGGGAGCAGCAAGGAGCCAGGCAGGCTGGAGGGGGGCCCCAGGAAGCCCAAGGGCAGCAGGGCTCCGTGGACGTGGACAAGGCAGGAAAGACCAGTGGGGCTGGAGCGGAGGAGCAGGACGGGGAGAGGGAGCCGGGATGGGGCGCCATGAGGGATCCAGCTGCGCGGGCAGGGGCTGGGGCAGGGGCTGGGGCAGGGGCTGGGGCAGACGTGGGGGGGCGAGCCGGCCCGGCGGACAGACCAACAGCCCAGTGCGGGATGCGGCACTAGGATGGATGGGGCCCCCGAGGCCGGGCTGATGGGAGGGCGGCGGTCCCAGCATGAGAGGAGTGGCAGTGCCACCACCAGGGCAGGGGGAGCGGGGAGGGGGCACAGGTGGGAGGAAGGCAGTGGGCTCCATGTCCAGCGGGCCAAGGCCACGGCCGTGGACAGGCAGTCGGGGAGGCCGCGGGGGTTCAGGGGATCCACACTTGGAGCAGTGGGAGCTGGAAGCGCTGGGTCACGGGAAAGGGTGCGATCGCCCAGCAAGAGGGACAGGTACGGGGTTCCGGGGCATCCCAGCCTGTCAGAGCAGGCAAAGGGCCGGCAGGGTGAGACCAGAGCAGGAGGAAGGCCCCGAGGGGGGCTCGGTGGCGGCAGCAGCCCACCACAGCACGACTCGAACACAAGAGCGTTTGAGGCCCGAACAAAACCGGCCGGTCACATGCTGCCAAAATGTCAATCAGGTTAAGAACTGAAATGGGTTTGCTTCCGCGTGGTTGTTAGCTGTTCCCCAACTAAAGCAAGTCCTCAGCAAGTGGAGGGCAGGAAGCGTGAGGGTGTTTGTGTCCCCACCGCCCTCCCAGGGGCGAGGACCCCATGACCGACTGGCGACCTGGCGACTGCACTCGCCCCTCTGACTCTCGGGGAAGCTGCCCCCACTGCAGGGGGACGAGATCCGTCTCCTCGTGCTCGCAGCAGCCACCCGGAGGCCCCCCCCCCCCGGGGCTGGGCCAGGTCTCTCAACAGCCCCACATCCCGTCGAGGCACATGTGTGACACACGCACACTTATGGACACACACCTGAAACCTCAAGCCACCCCAACCCTAAGAACCGTTGCCACGCACAGGGCCTTACTCAGCACCTCGTCCACAGAGACACGCGGGCTCCTCCGCCCTGGCTCCTGAGAACCCTTCCCACTGGCCTAGACGTCAGTATGGTTCCCGTGCCTCGTGGGCACCACCTCGTGGGCACCGCCTCGTGGGCACCAGCCTGGCCTTGCCGCAGCCTATTCTCATCCCCAAACCTGAATCCCACTGGGAGGGGTCAAGAGAGTAAGTGGGTTATTCTCACAGAGGGAGGGGCAAGTAGAGGGGAACGGACCTTCCCTCGCCCTTGTCTGGACAGCTCCCCATCCCCTCAGCCTCACCCCTTCTCACTCCTGCCTCCCTGAGCCAACAGCCCAAGGGGCCCGGGCCCTGTATTCGAGACCTGACTCTCCCCCCATCCAGCTAGGTGACCACAGGCAAGTTACTTGACTTCTCTGTGCTTTGTAGCCTGGTAGGCTCGTCGGTACAACAGGAAAATAATGACACGCACTTGGCGGGGGTGACGTGGGGGTCCTGGAGGTGAAAGAAGTGCTTTTATAAACTGCTCAGCTAGTAATCAGTTAAGGAATTAATATGCTCTGGCTGCAGGGTCGCCCACACTCCGATCCCCAGACACTTCCTCTGAGACTTAGGAAAGAGGTGGGGTGAATAAATGCTGCTGTTTGTACTACTAAATACAGAAGTCACACGCACACCCACGTGCTCGCACACATGCGGCCCGACCAGACCCACTGCAGATGCGCCCAGGAGGGAAGCCGGTGCCACTGCGTCTCCCCTACGGATAAATGTCAAACCAGACCCGGGTGCCAGCCCTCCTAACCCTTTGTTCCGAGCTGCTCAGCCTTGAGCCCCTGCCTTCCTCCCGGCCGCGTACGAAGACCCAGCACCCACCCTGCTCCCCTGCCTCGCCTGCCCCTCCACCCGCCTCAGGGAGCCCAGAAGCACCAGGGCCTCCTTCCCCGACCAGAGGGGCCCAGACAAAGCCAATTCCTGAGCCCCTTGCCCACGGTCCCCTCAAGCACCCAGGGAACTGACCCGAGTCTGGAGGGGCGGAGGGGGCAGGGGTGAGTGAGGAGGGGGCAGGAGCTCCCCTCGTTCCATCCATGGGCTCGGGAATCAGGGGTCTGGAGGGTCTCCCCAGTGGGCAGGTTCCCAGGGAAGAGGCTGGGGGCGGGGAGAGGAGACCAACAAGTGGAAATGTCGGAGGTGGACCTCGAGGGCAGCACGACCGGGGTGGACCGCGGGGGGGGCGGCTGGGGAAGGGACCACGCCTCGCAGCGTTCACCTTGCCCCCACCCCCAAGACACACAGACACACTCGCTCGGGGCCCTGCTCAAACCAACCATGGATTATCTGGGGTTAAAAGGAGGCCATAGAGGAGAGACGGAGCCAAGAGAGCCTGTCACAAAAACAAGACCCTTCTCCCCCCAAAGACCTTTCAGAAATAAAATTAATGGAATGTGTCTCAGTACCATCCCAAGGGGGCTGGGGGAGGGGTGGGGGACGTGGGGGCTTTTGTCCCGGCTGCCCAGCTTCTCCCACATTGATCGCCATGGCAACCAAAGCCCCCTGTTGCCTAGGTGATGGCAGCCGGGTCCTGGAACCCATACCCAGCATCCAAAGCGAGGGAGGTTGTGAAGGTGGGGGGGTTAGGGACAGAGGGGGAGAGAATGGGGTTTCTCCTCCGGCAGCCCCAGCTTTTGTCTGAGCCCTGGGATCAGGTTTCTTCAGGAAACAATCGGAGGCCTCTGGAAAAAATACACTCAGAACCTGGCAACAGGCAGAGGGAACAAGGCCTTGGGGGTGGGGGGTTACAGAGGGGGAGGCTGGCGTTGGCCAAAGTGCCGGCTGAGGCCAGGCCTTCCACTCCACCCCACCCGGAGGAGCAGCTCAGGGGGATCGACGCGGGGACCCCGAGGGGCAGGTGCTGAGAACTGGCAGCCAGGCGGCAGGTGCCTCTGATCACCACCTCCTTCCCGCTCCCTGGACCGGGGCCACCCCGCCACCCAGGCCCAGCGCCCGAGCCTGGCGTGGGGAACGGAGGCGGGGCTGCGGGGAGGCGCCCCGGGAGCTGAGGGCCTCAGCCAGGAAAGCAAAGGAGCGGAGGGCACAGGGCACAAACATGCACCTAGAAGGGGCACCTGTCATGCCCGCGCTGGCCAAGGCACCGGGGTGGGATCCTCCGCGCGGGAGAAGAGGCTGGGACGGGACAAGGGGCCGTCTGGCCTGCCAGGGCTCCCGAGCCGCCCACTCCTTAAACGATTGGCCCTTCCTCTTCTCGGCCGCGGACGGCCGGGGAAGGCCAGTCCCGCCTGGACACAGGAAGGGCACAGTCTCCTCTTTGGGCCCCTCCTGCGGACAATGCGGGACACGGGCCCCACAGGCCTGTGGTTCCTTCACAAGGGCCTGGGTCAGACCGAGCCTGCCTTCCCCTTCCCCGCTTCCACCCACAGGCAAGCAAGCGCCCCCCGCCTCGCGGTCCCCAAGGGTCACCCAGCACCCTCACAGGTGCACGACTCCCACCTCCCGGCCCAGATCCAAAGAACCACAGGTCCATCCAGAAAGGCAGAGCCCAGGCAGACGTCGGGCAGATGCCAAGTCACAACCATCCTGCAGGCCGCCGGTTCTCCCCCACCTGCTGGCTCCACCTGGGTGCTCAGCCCGGGCCCCGACAGCCGCGGGTGGCGGCCAGAGGTGCCCAGGGTGGGAGCAGAGGCAGACATGGGGACGGGGCGGCGCCCACGGGTGCCCCGAGCTGCCCCTTCTCTCCGGCACCCCAGGGAGACGGCGCGCTCACCCACCCAGTGCTCGGCAGGTCCCAGCACTAAAGCTGGACACGCGGCCCAGCGGAGGACGCGCGGCCCCAGGTGAGGCCCCCCAGTAGGCCGCCACTGCGAGACTCGCTGACACTTCGGCCGTGAGGTGTGCCCTCTCAAAAGCGAAATTGGGTGCCTCGAGGACACACCAAGGCCGGGTCAGGGAGACCACGGGGACCCCCCTCTTCTCAGCAGCGGTGGGGCGACGGGGGTTTCAACCCCACTCCTCCCGAGCACTGCGCTCCCTCACCCCTCTCTCATCCCTCACCCCTCTCTCATCCCTCCCCCCCGTGGCCCCACCCAGCCTCAGGCCATGGACCAGCCACAGTTCCCTCATCACAAGAGGAGGACAGCACAGGGTAGGCCGGACCCTAGACCAATGATACCACGGACACTGGCTCCCCACCCTCATTCCCATCCCCTGCCCAAGGTCCCAGTGCCCCTGGGGGAGACCAGAGCTAGCAGCTGGATTACTGGGGGCCCGATGGGGAGCCCAGGAGCCCCCACCCCGCTGCCCAGGCACTCTCCCAGGACCGCCCAGACATGAGCTCACCATCCTTCGAGCCCCAGGGCAGGGCCAGGCTCCTTGTCCTCGCTGGGCTGGGAAGCAGGGGACGGCTGTGCTGGGTCACCCCGGGGACCACACTTCCAAAGCAGCTGCTCCCTGCCAGACCCCAGTACAAGGAGCGGCCTAGGGAGAGCGAGCCCGCACTCCGGGCTCCCTGCCAGGATACCTGAGCTCGCGCTGGCCCTGGGGAGGGGCTGGGGGAGCCAGAGCCAAGCCCTCCTCCTCCTCTGCTTCCTCACCTCTCATCCGTCTAAAGCAGGGGTGATGTGGGTGCCCCCCGATGCCCAGACACAAGTACACCCACACTCCTACCCCCCTGAAATCTGGAATGGCTCCCGCCTGCCCCACCCAGCTCCACCCGCCCTGGCCAGGCAGGTTCTGTGGAGACCTGCTCTGTTTCTCCCTCGCACCCCCGCCCCCACGCCAGCTCCCAGGAGGTCTCCGTCCTCCGACACCCCCCCAGCAGCGCGCACAGGTGCCCGAACCACAGGCCTCGTGCCCTCGCCTCCCCCAGACCCGTCGCAGCCAGTCCAGAAGGGAGCACTGGGCAGGGGGAGGGGATAGAGCAGCGGGGCTGAGTAATCTCTCTGGCATGTGTCCCAGGTGGGGGCCCGAGGGGAGACCCAACTAGGCCGCTGAGAAGGTAACAGGGAGGCCTCGATGCCCCACAGTCCCACCCACCAGGCTGGGAACTTCTTCCTCCTTCGGCTGGGGCGAAGGGCTGGCCCCTACCTGCCCACCAGGTGAGCCGTGGAGGAGCCAAGAGGAAAGCAGGCACTGGAGTTGTCCTCAGGGACACAAGGTGGACAACGGGAGGGGAGCAGGCTGCGTCCGCCCCCAGGTCAATCCTGTGCGCCACGTTCCCACCCTCGAGGAACATGAGCGCCTCTCCGTGTGCACCCACCGTCCCCAGTCGGGCCCCTGACCCCGGGTGACCCACCCAGCCTGCTCACCCGGCCTGGGCCTCGGCGCAGGAGCCCTGGGCACCCACGCGGGGAAGGGACTCGACCAACCTTGGGCTCACACGTGTCGAGGGAGCGGGCGGGTGGGCTGCTGGCTGGGAAGACTGGCTCCTGGGGGAAAGGTGGTCGGGAGGTGCAGGGTGGGGGGCCCCAGGTGTGACACGTGGGTGACCGTGGGTGCAGGCGGCAGGTCGTGGTCTCCCCACGCTGAAAACCTCCCCCTCACGTGTCAGCCCAGGGCCCCCCCCATCAGGCAAGTGACTCTGGTACAGGAAAACCAGGCCACCCAAAAGGCCCACATATGATCGGCCTCCAGCGTCCTGCGTCCCCACCCGAGGCATCCCCCACGCCCCCCAGCCCTTCTACCTGCCACCCCCACTCCTGCAGTAAAGCGGGTGACAAAACAAGTGTCTCTGTTCACACTTGGTTGTTTTTTTTAAGTTACTGCGTTCACACCTTGGACTCAGCACCTGTTCCCGTCCAACCCCCACGTACCCTAAAAAGCCAGGGGCCCCTCCCCACTCACACACAGATGCCCACTCTCTCCTCTGGTGGGGTCAGGGGAGCGGGAGCTCTCTGGTGAAAGTGGGGGTCCCAGGGATGTTTTGGGGGTTGCCCGGAAACAGTCCAGACCATGAGGGCCAGGCCCCTTGGCATCGCAAACAAGACCCCATGGGCTGGAGTGACCAGAGCCCTCCCACCCCGTGTGAAGTGGCCCACAGACAGGAGGGGGGCCCCTGGAGAGGCTCCTGCCCCAGGCTCCAGATCGGCTCCTCTCGGGGGACCCCATCCGTCTGGGAGCCCCCACCCGGCCGCGCCCTCACAGGCGGACGTGAAGCCCGGGCCCGCCTTCAGGAGACAGGCCGAATGGTTCAGGTCCAAGAGTGGAGGCAAAAACGAGCAGTCAGATCCCGCGGAAGGAGGAGCATCACGATGGAAGCGTGGTGCCGTGGGGGGGGGGGGGGGCGGGAGGGGCCCCCGGCACAGCCTCCCGGGAGCTGTGCCATCTCAGGGGAGCTGCTTACCACCTATGACCTCAGTTTCCCTGCCTGGACAGTGGGGGTGACAGTGCCAACTCCAGGAGGTCAGGCATTGTCGGCAAAATAGCGTATACAGAGCATCACGGAATCGTCACAGACGGCCACAAAGCGTTGGTTCCCACCCGTCTGTCCTTTGGATGGCCCGCTCCGAGCCTCCCGCCTCCATCCCATCACCTCAGGTGAGAAGACGCACCCAGACTAGGACGGAATCCCTGGCCGCAGGCCCCCAGAGGACGAACCCCCCCTGACTTCCACCCCCAGAACCCCCTTCCCATCCTCTGCCTCCTTGGGGGGCTGCGGGTGGAGGCCGGCCCCAGATCCCATCCCCCCTCGTTCCACGCTGAAGGAGGCAGGGCCTGGAGCCCCCCCCTCCCCCGCTCTCCCGCAGGTGCTAAGCCCAGCCGCGCGCGCAGTGGCAGGGAGAGGGGACCCCAAGTGCGCCGTCCAGCCCAGCCCCCCGCTCTCCCCCGCTTGCCCCTCACTGCCCCACCCCGATCACCAGGCCGATTCCGAGGCTGCTCTCCCAAACCTGTTCTCAGCTGTCATGTCTGTAATTACCAGCCTCGCCAGGGGCATCAGACAAGCACAGCAACACCTCATTTCCGAAGGGCCCCACCAGGCAAGGCCTCAGCCTCCTGCTCTGCGCGGAGGGAGGGACCGGAAGAGCCTCGCTGACCCACCTCATTTCCCCCGGGGTCCCAGGAGGGCTGCCTTGGTCCCATCACCAGGAGAGAGATACAGCAGGGAAGGCTGCCGGGGTGGGGCTGGAGGAGGCCTCGCGCCCAGGCTCTTCCCTCGCCTCTGCTGAACAAGGTTACCCACCCGCAGAGGGCGAGCGAAGAAATTTCCGACAAGGGGGAACCCGATGCCCTGTAAAACCTTAAGACCGGTACCCAGAGGGTAGATGCAGCCGGGAGGGCCCCACCCAGGAAAGACACAGAAGGAGCAAGTCCAATAAGGCCCCATCCTCCCCCCAGACCCCGAGAAGAGGCAATAGTGTCACAGCCCCTCCTTCCCTTTTACCTCCATCCCCACCAACCCCACGATGGGACTTCCTTTCACACGTAGGGAAACTGAGGCCAAATGCCCCCCCCACGCGCCGATCCTGCAAGACCTTACAGTACCGCGCTGCATGCAGCCCGCCAACACCCCCGATGCTCCCGGTGCGCTCAGCCTGTACCCGCAGGGCCCTCCTCAGCACCCCACCCCACTGCGCCCCGTCTGCCTAGCTCCTCCTTCAGATCCCACTAGGGGCCATGCACACGTGGAATACGATGCAGCCAGGAAAACGAGGGAGGCTGTGACACCAGCTCTGGCGTGGGGAGCCTTGCCGGGGTGGCGCCTGCTCAGTGAAGGCAGGACACACGGCAAAGACCACGTGTCACCGGTCCGTTTACATGAAACGTCCACAACAGGTAAATCCACGGCGGCGGAATGAAGACGGGTGCCGGCCAGGTGCAGGGGGCGCTTGGGGACAAGAGCTCCTAGGCTGGGCTCTGCTCTGGTGGGTGGGGGGGGACATCAGACAGGGGCCCTGGCGGCACAGCACAACCGCTGGAAGCGCCAGCACTCACTTTCCAGTGGTTCCTTCTACCTTCTGGGGCTTTCACGTCCGTCCATTCGCACACACAGCCGGCTAGGGACCGTCCGCCCCCCGCCCCCCACCTCGCCCCGTCCGCCCCGTCCTGGCCTCCTGCACACACCTCCGGACGGCACTCACGGGCTCCAAGGGCGTGTTGGCACACGTCGCGCCTGGGATGGCCCGGCCCTCCTGCCCCCGCGCCAGGCAGGGTCCCCCGGAGGAGCACAAGAGCACCGGGCCGTCCCCCACCCCCCCCAACCAGGAAGGCCTCCCAGCTGGGGAGCACCCCCACCCCCTGGGGCTCGTTCTCTCAGCCGGGGAGCACCCACCCCCGGGGCTCACGGCTCCCAGGCTCCGGGGCGCCAGCTCCCCACGCCCCCACTCAGCCCGTAAACGAGCGACGAGCGACGTGGGCCGCGTTATTAGCTCCACTTCACAGGTCAGGCTTCAAAAAGTCCCCTCTCCCGGCCCAGGTCTCAGGAGCAGGAAGTGGCGAAACGAGAGGCAGGAGCAGAGGCAGGAGCGAGCCGAAACCGAGGTGGCGGCCACGGGCCCGGGGTTCCTCGAGGATCACCCCACCTGCGGCGGGGGAACCTCCAGACACCGACGGGCCAGAGCCTGGGGCGGAAGAACCTGCCCCGGGTCACGGCCACCACGAAGCACTAGTTCCAAGCAGTGCGGTCAGGAGCAGCCTGGGGTCCCTAAGACTCAGAGGGGACGAGGAGCAGCCCGAGCTCTCGGCCCTCGTCCCCCCCAAAGCTTCTGTTAGCCAAGTACACGCCCCCCTGGAACCGGAAGCGCCTCTTGGAAGGCCGATGAAGAGATAAAAGTCTGTCCTGCTCTAGGGCCAGGAAAGGGGGGCCCTTCGTCAGACTCGGAAGGAGCAGAAGGCGCAGAGGGGGCACAGCGGAGAGGCCTGCCTTGGGAGGATCACAGGGATGACCAGGCCGAAGCAAGACAATGGGGCGGGGGGGGGGGGGCCTGATGTGGTCCCCGGCTCCAGACCAGAACTCCTTCCAGAGACGGCACCTCCCACCTCCGACCACGACGGCTCCTCCCTGGATAACGCCCCGCCAGACAGTAGAGCAGCATACCCGGGAGCCAGAGCCCCCCACCCTACACTCAGGTGCCTCGCTCACCCTAGGGGCCCTACCCATCAGACAGGTGTCCAGCTTGGGGGATCCTCCATCTGGTCCTTCCTGCTCGGCCCCCGGCCCTGGTCCCAACAGGTTCTAACGCCCACTACCCTTACCCCCCCACCCCGAGTCTTAGGAAAGCGAGGGAGCCCTTGGGACTAAAGAGGAAGCATTCCAATTACACGTGCCCTTTAGGGACTCAGACATTCCAATTCCAAGTACTCAGAGACCCTGAAAAACTGGTCACCACCTCAGCCCCTAAAACTAGGCGGCTCGCGCCCACTCCTGGCGGCAACAGCCAAGTGTCTGGGAGGGAGACAGGAGAACAAAGCGTGCGTCCTAAACAAGAGGGTCAGCCCCTTCCCTTCACCCCAAAAGAGAAAGGACAAGAGAGAGGAGAGGCAAAGGGGCCAGGGACACATCCACCTCCCTCCAAGCTCTCAGGACGGTGAGGATGGCCCACGAGGGGTGCCCACCCTGTCCCCAACGCACGGACGTTCACTTGCCCCCTCACTGGCTCAGCTCCTGTGCCTCACCCTCAGACCTGGCCCCAGACCTGGCCCCACCCCAGCCACGCTGTTCACCAGGGAAAAGGGGAACTACGGGGTCCGCCCGTCGCACACACACACCTGCAGACGCTCCTGGCCCCCCACCTCCCCAGGCGCCCCCCCCCTCCTTCTCAACCCTTGGACACACCTCCACACTCAGTCTCATCCCCCCAGCCAGCTGCCTCCCCTTGCCTCCACCCTGTCCCCAAACTCCTGACGTCAGGAACTGTAGAGACCTGGAGGCAGGGCAGTTAGCGGGCTCCGAAGTCCAAGACTCCAAGGCGCTTTCCAAGAGAACCGGGGCCTGGGCCTGGGCCGCCAAGCCTAGGATGCGGCCTCTCCACGGACTGGAACCCAATCTCTGATGGTGCGGGAGGACCGTCTCCTTTCTCTCCCTGACTCTTCTAGTGGCCCGATTCCTCTAGGACTACAGCCAGAACCCCCGTTCCCCACAACACCCATCCTTTTCTAGAAAAACCCACCCCATGCACCCAAACAGGCACCTCTTGAGATGACCCACTCCCTCCCCCTGGTCGTCTCAGATACCTAAAGCACTACCCTTGAGCCCAGACAGAGCCACCCAAGAAGCTTCGGAATCACCCAGACGGCTGTCCCTTTGGGCTTTCTACCAGGAAAATCTGTCTGCAGAGGCAAGAGGTAACACCCCCAGCACACAGGCGGAGATGCACACGCCACCTAAAGGAAGGTACACACGCTGTACTTCGTCACCAACACAGATCACACACAAGAGAACAGATTCGCTCTCCCCCTTTCCACACAGGTGCACACACACCTATCCAGGTATGCCCTGTTCTGTCCTATACACCCACCTTCCTGCTACCTACACCTTTCTTTCCCAGAAACCCCTCTGCAGTGCACACACACACACACACACACACACACACACGCACACACCCCTTCCCCTGAGTACACACATAAATGCACATCCAAACACACGGGAGATACACGGCCAGCTCCCTGGGTGCACACACAGCCACAGAAAAGCCCCTACACCTCCGAAGCCAGGGGCCCACCTGCAGGAACACGGAGCACATCACGGAACCTGCACACACACACACACAAACAAAAGAATCACGCACACTGATCCTCCACCAGTGCTTTAAAGCTCCCTAATGCAGCCCCCCAGCCCCCCCACAATGGGCAAGCGTGAGTGGGGAGCGGGTGCGGCGCCTGTCCCCGGGGCCCATGCACCCGGCCCGCCTGCCCGGCCCGGCCGCACACACACCCCCTGGGCCGGTCCCCAGCGCCACCCTGCACCTGGGATGCTCACCTGCCCCGTCCCCACACCCCCGAAGGTGTGTCCGCGCCGGGCCCCCAGGCCAGTACCTGCAGCCTCCCATCCTCGCACCGCCTCTCCCCCGCCTCCGCCGCACTCCCGGTCTCCGGCTTCCACCGGCTCCCCCGGGATCACCAGGCCCCCGCCGGGGCCCCGGGCCCAGGAAAGTCCCCGGCTCTCCAGGCCCCGGCTCCGCCCCCCGCCTCGAGCCCCCGGCCCTCCGCCAAGCTGGGGGGCTCGGCCGGCCGGAAGGGGGTGGGGGTGGGGGTGCCCCGCCCGCGCCCCCGCCCCCGCCCCCCCGGCCGCCCTCCTTTCCCGTTTCCCGTCCTCCTTTCTTTCTCCGGCAAACTTTGCCGGCGCCCCGCGGCCCGCCACTCACCGCGGCCGCCCAGTGCGGGGCTCGGCCGGCGCCTTTGTATGGGCAGCGCCCGGGGCGCGGCGGGCAGCGCGGGCGGGGGCTCGGGGCTCGCGGCTCGCGGCTCGCGGCTCCGGGCTCGCGGCTCCGGCCGGCGCCCCCTCCGCGTCCCACGCCGCTGCCTGTCCCCGCGGGGCCCCGGGGGCAGGGGCCGGGGTCGGCGCTCAGGCTCCCATGGCGGGGCCCAGCAGCTCGGACGCGGGGGCCGGGAGCGCACCGGAGCCGGCGGCCGGCGGGGAGGGCGGGCGCGGGGGCGGGCGGCGCGGGGGCGGGGGCGGGGGGCGCGCGCTCCCGGGCGCCGCCTCCCGGCTGTTCCCGCCGCCGCGCCCCTCCCGCCGCCGCGCCCATTGTCTGCGGCCCGGCTCTTCCCGGAGCCGCCGCTCCCCGGCCGCCGGCCGCCCCGCGCGCCCCTCTGGCCCCGCGCACCCCAACATCGCCGGCCCCGGGCACCCCTCCCTCCCCGGCCCCGCGCACCCCTCTATCCCCTGCCAGGGCCTGGCCCCGCGCACCCCAACATCGCCGGCCCCGGGCACCCCTCCCTCCCCGGCCCCGCGCACCCCAACGTCCCCGGCCCCGGGCACCCCTCCCTCCCCGGCCCCGCGCACCCCTCCATCCCGGGGCGCCTTTCCCCGACCCGCCGACGACTCTCAGGCCCCCCGGGCCCCCGGGGATGGAGGGGAGCGTTCGCGCGGGCCGCAGCCCCTGCCGCCCAGAGTGCGGTCCGGGCCGTGGGAAGATCGGCCCCCACCCCCCGCCCCAGGGCTGCGAGAAGGGAGAGTCGTCTCTGATTTTAATTAGCGGCGGGGACGCTCCCCGCGGCCGAGCATCCGGGGATTGCCCGGACACCCGCACCGCCGCGGCCCCCCACCCCCGCTTCCAAAAATAATTTAATTACTCGGCGCTCCGGCTGCGAGCGGCGGCCCGGGACGCTGCTCATTAACACTTCGGGCCGCCCCTCGGGTTTGCGCGCTGCGATTAATTACAGAGGGATCCCGGCCCGGGGGGCGAGGGCTGCGGAGGGGAGCGGGAGGGGAGCCGGAGGGGAGCCGGAGGGGAGCGGGAGGGGAGCCGGAGGGGAGCCGGAGGGGAGCCGGAGGGGAGCGGGAGGGGAGCGGGCCCCGCTCCAGGAAACCTCCGAAGGCCCTGGCGGCCCTGACCCCAGTGGCACAGTCTCAGGGCCCAGGGGCCTCAGACGGCCTGCAGTGGGGGCGCGACACAGGGGCTGCGGGGGTCACGGGGTGTCCCACATAACCGGCTGCTCTGCCTTGGAGCAATCCAGGGAGCCTGGTGGGCCTCCTGGAGCGGGGCAATAGCCCTGAACCCACCAAGTCTCCCCCGTCACAAAAGCCTGGGTTGTGGGAAGTCCCCGTTCCCCTTGGAGTGAGCGGAAGCTTCCAGTGTGATTATATTATCATGTTATTGCGCTGCAACCCTGCACTTACCTGGAACAGTAATACTTCAAAAGCACCTTTGCATACCTGTCCCAGGCAGGTGCTCTCACCATCTCCCCATCTTCCAGCTTTTGAGTCCCGGTACCTTCTCACCCAACCCTGTGATTAAGAAGTCCCAAGGGAAGGAGATTCCCAGCCTCGGTTCCTCACTTGTTTGGGATTTTTGCTCCTCCCTGGCGAAATGTTTTTCACTGAGACTGAAGCTTAGGCTGCACAGCGGCCCATTCTCACCTACCTGACCGCGAGGACAGGGCCATCTTCATCTGCGTTGTTACCCTTCAAAGATGGAAAACGTTTAGAAACGCTTCCCTTCTCCTTGGCCCAAATCCTGGCCTCTCGTCACCCCACCCCCCATCCCACACCAGGCGTGAGCAAGTGACTCAGCCCCAAGACTGCCTGCAATATGCAGAATCATTATTTCTGGTACCCGAGTCCCGCCTGAGTCTAGGTGCTTGCTCAATTGGCCCCGGGCTACCCCCCAGGACCTGCCCCCCAGGTCCGGGCAGTCTGTGAGGGACGGGGGGGGGGGGGGGGGGGGGGGGGGGGGCAAGGAGGTGGGGGGCAGTGGGCATAGAGCGGGCTCAGGCCTTTCCAGTGCTGCCCAGAGTGCGCTGCCCTGCGAGGCAGCGAGGGTATAACTGACACGGTGTTGGGGCCTCACTAGCTGCCGCGCCCCCCAGAACATCCAGCAGGCCTAGTGGGAGATACGGTGTCACGGTGCTAGCCTGCTTCACAAACCTCCAAAAGGCCCAAAGAACCAGAAACAGGGCTTCTGGGGCTCCTGGGCAGCTCAGCGGTAGAGCGCCTGCCCTTGGCCCAGGGCGTGACCCAGGGGCCCGGGGATCAAGTCCCGCATCGGGGTCCCTGCAGGAAGCCTGCTTCTCCCTCTGCCTGGGTCTCTGCCTGTCACCCTGTGTCTCTCCTGAATAAATAAATAAAATATTAAAAGAAAAAAAGAAACAGGGCTTCTCACACAGGAATTACAGATAATTCTGTACACTGGCCCCACCTAAAGCCAAAGCCTAAATCAGGACGTCAACACGTAAGTCTTCAGGATTAGCAAATCTCAGGGATGGAGCTGAAATGAACTGCAGGTCTCCTTCCTCCTCTCCACGGGGAGGC